ACATGGCATACTTGCATTTGTGAGGTTCATAAAGGCAAACGCATATGATCATTTAAGCTGAATGTTAATGACTTATCTTTTTTTCTGTCATCCTGCAGCTGACAATCATCTTTAAGAACTTCCAGGAATGTGTGGACCAGAAGATGTATCACGCAGAGACCGATGAGCTGCCGGCTGCTTTTGCAGATGGCTCCAAGAACGGAGGTGATCGCCATGGAGCCAACACTCTGCGCGTGGTGGAGAAGGTTCCCGGGCAGCACGTGGAGATTCAGGCCAGGTACATCGGCACAACAATCGTGGTGCGGCAGGTCGGGCGCTACCTGACCTTTGCTGTGCGGATGCCTGAGGAAGTTGTGAACTCTGTGGAGGAAGGAGATGACCAGGACTTGTACCTCTGTCTTCACGGCTGCCCGGCCAACCAGCGCATTGACTTCAGAAACTTCAAGGCTCGGTCTGCGGAGGCCCAGAGCACAGGAAGGCCCCGCAGCACCGCGGCTCAGGGCTTCACCTACCAGTCTGCCAAGGCCAAGTGCAAAGAGCGGCTCCCAGTGGAGGACCTGTACTTTCAGTCCTGTGTGTTTGACCTCCTCTCCTCTGGAGACATTAACTTCACAATGGCAGCCTACTACGCCTTTGAGGATGTCAAAATGCTCCACTCCAACAGCAAAAGATACCACATCTATGAAAAGAACTCTTTTTTGAATAACGCGCCACAGAGGGGCAAAGATTTCCTTTCACTCCTTCTCCTCAACGTCCTTGCTGTCTTATTGTGGATTGAGTGTTGCACAGCTCATCTATAATCTCTTCACAACAGGATCCTCATGGTGTATCTGTCAGTGAGTGTTAGAGTGCTCTGGTTCTGTGATGTGACTCTGAGTCTCATTTTAGTAGTGTTGTCGTGTCTGGACTTCAGTCTGATGACCAGACGAGGTCACCGTGCTCCCCACCTTTCATCACATGTGTTTAGCTGCTTCATAGGACTGGTCTTTGATGAGAGCAGTGGTGAGAGAGCCCGGCTACTCCAGAGCTCAGGATATCCACCTGGGATTAAATCCCACATTCTCACCGGGCCTGCATGCCGATGGGAAGCCGGACAAGATGATCTTTTGCAGAAAGAAGAGTTTGCTGATCCTCCCTCTCCTGATCCACTCATTGGTGCCAAGCCAGTGAAGCTCTCCGTGGCTCATGTGGCGGGGCAAGGACCTGACAGGGGCTTTTGTTAACCTAAGGCCAGAAGCAGCTCTATGTTTGATTAGTTTCCAGCTTTGGAAAAGCCTGAGCCTTTTGGAGGAAGCACTCAGCCAAAAGGATGTCAGAGCAGCGTCTCCAGTTGTCTGCTGTGGAGATTAATGGGTCATATTGTTTGGTTGTGTTCGTGTGTGTGTGGGAGAATTCAGAGTCTGTGGTTAATGTTGTGTGTTTGTGGGTGCAGGAGTCCCTAGAAATGACAGAACAAACCTCCAGTGGGAGGACTCTTTCCCATGTCTTGCTGTTGCACCCAAAATCTCCGAAATAGAAAAGACGAGGCTCCACAGTCCTGTTAAAAATAGCCTCTGTTAGCCTAGTAGCAAATCCCTTAAGGGAACTGATAATAATAACTATCTTCTTCTTCAGTGTCATACGGCCTTTCACTCCATTGTTTCAGCCGACATGTTGATCAGACAGTGTTTTGTGTTTAACGTCTGTAATGTGAATGTAGTTAACATGAAAAGCAGAAGAACAACCTTAGTTAAGGGCACTCATAGCGTTTACAGAATGTAGATCAGCCAATCCAACTGAATCACCTCTTTGATAGCATTTTGTGAATTGTTTCTCCAGTGGTGTGGATACTGTTAGTACTAGCTATAAAGAGGTCACCTCCAGTCAGTTCAGCTTTTTATGGACTATCAGTGTGCTGCTGAGCTGTGCGTAAACGATAAGCATGCGTCTGTAGACATGCTTTCATGGCTTAAGTCATTGCCAAAGAACAAGCCCTTGTGCCAACATTTCCCTTGCATCTGAATTTCCATCGTTCAGTCTTAAACATTCACATTAGAGGGATTCATAACTGTATACAACTTGTGTTTGGGTGATTACAGTACAGTCACGCTGTTAAAGCAGCATTAGTTTCCCTTTGCTTTTCTTGTGTTTCATGATAACACTTTCCATTGAACTTTGTCTCTCACCTGCAGTATCTGCTAATGTGTAAGTCACCCTGTAGATACAGTTACTACTCGGGCACAGTTTCACAGTCATTTAACTTTTACACTGAAGTATTTGGCAGGCCTTACTACTGCTATTTGAAACATGTATTGGTGCAGTTTGACAACAAAAAAAATCATTTAAAAAAAAATGATTGTAATGTTGAATCTTTTGTTAATAGCTGTAATTTGTGTTGTGAGTTTTACAGTATATGGTTCTACACGTGAAATGTGAGATTGTACATATGTTTTGTGAGTTTAAATTTGTATATTACCAGTTGTGTTTTGAATTTATCACTCCTGTTTTTGTACATCAGATGTTTTGGTGAATGTGAACCTTTTTTATTTGAAAGGGAATTTTACAAAAACATGAACACCACAGAACAAAATACTTTTGATTGAATACAGTATACTCACTTACTGTAGTGGTTGTGGAGAAAGGGATACAATGCCGGCTGTCATTACTTTACATAAAACATGCTAAATGCAGCCCACCTTATCTAGAAAGGGAATGTAGGAACAAATTATGGGGTGTTCATGTTTTTGAATTTAAAGCACTTTATGTTTTCCTTTCCATTTAGCTCTTATTTCATTTGTAATTCTGTGTCAGACTTGTAATGGTAGAAAAGAGTTTTAAAAACAGCTAAATGGGAAATGTCAGAAAGATCAAACTGTGTTTGTATGTAAAGAAAATGTGGTGCCACACGCCAGCTGTTTATAATGTAAATTATTTATTGAATAAAAGAAAATGTCTTGTTATTGATGTGTCCTCTTGTCTCAGTGGGAGTTATGTGTTGGTAACAGTCTCCAGTGTTAGACTGCCCCCTGCTGTAGTGATGCATGTGAGCAGATGCAACCGTTTTTGACTTAAGTTAAAAATGAAGAAGTCTTTGGTAAGAAAATATACATCTCCTCTAAATATTAAAATAAGCAAAATGTTAAGTGAAAGACAAATGTGACAAGGATGATCCATGCTTAGCTCAGGCCAGTGAAACCGTCCGCGCGCCACTCATCCCAATCAGGACTGCTTCATGGCATACCTTGTCATTAAGGCATCGCAACAGGAAAGCTTTATATACAAGATAATTAACCTGAAATTGTATTGCTATAAAAATATATGCAATTAGTTATTTTGTATAGGCATCCTAAATTGGTTACAGTATGAGATATTTAGAGCTGTCTTTGGAGGCCCTTTAACATGTAAAAAATAATGTGTATATATATATATATATAATATGGCAAACTCACAAATCGACATTTCTGTTATCTTTAGAAATGATAAAATATCCTGTAATTGAATTTTTTTTTTTTTTTAAATCCTCCCAAAAAAAAATTAATGTGGCCCTAATCCTCTTCCGTACATTCGCAAGCAAATTAAACTTGTTTATATAACGCCTTTGTGCAAAATTGCAAATCAAGACAATATCAATACAATTAAATACACTACAAAAAAAACCGACTAGTGTTGCACAGTAGGAGAGGATAAATCATTTGGGAGTCAATGTCGGACACTAACGAATGCCTTTCATAAGAGCAACCTTTGACTCTTTATATGCACACAAATCTATCGTGTCTTTTTGTAACACACAGTATGATAATGAAACCAGGTATATTGTCTTATCGAGTCTGCCATAAAAAAAAATCACACAGGCACATTTTCATTGTGTAACAAAGTTCATTACATATGTCCTAACATATGTACAGATCATTTCTCAAGAAGAGTGGTTTTGTCACAAATATAAATTATTTAGACTTTCCTAAAGAACATATGATACAGAAACTGTGAGTTGCTTAACGTGGAGAGGATGTGCTGGCTGTTCACTGTAACAGGTCGGCTAAGAGCCCTGCACAGACACACACACACACACACACATCATACCTTTATATCTATGTTTTTTCCCTCAAATGATCAGCTCTTTTGGAAAGCCCAGGATGCTTACCAGAATACATGGTCCCTTAACCAGTTCATTCAGAGCAATGTCCTTAAAATGTGACTGTAATACTACACCCCGCCTGTCGGGCCCCAGGACTGTTGATGAACAACATACAGTATGATAATACACACATAAATAAGGCACAAATGGAGAAGCGTAAAAAAAAAACATTGGGGGCCAAAGCAGGTTTGGCACGGATAAAGATTGACCAGAGGTAATACACATAATCAAATGTCATCAGCAACTTCCTGGTAACCCTTGAACAATCTAACAGCAACACCATTGCCAAACCATAGATAAAGAGAGAAGAGGTTTTATCAGAATATTATTTTCTGAATACTTACATACTGAGAGATGAATTAATGCAACTACACTGAAGTACCATTCTGAACTATCAGAATACTGAAAGGCAACAAATAAAGGATAGTTCTAAGTAATAGTGTTATGAGCCTTTGCACAAGTTGTGGCAATAAATACTGCTTCTATTTCACTGGGCCTACTAAGAGGGAAAGTGGTTAAAGTGAACAAAGCAAGAGGATTGCCTTGATTTATATAACTACACGGTTACAGAAATAATGATTATTTGTACACATGAGCAATGTGAATTTTCTAAAATGATTTTGTAGAGTGTTTTGTAGAGTAAACATACTTCATTGATCATTCAAATAACATAACAGGACCGTGCCATTGCACCACCTGTTTAAAGTGGGGATTCAGTTCAGCTACATGTTCAAGATAAACATAATGAAGGTGCAGATGAAAACACTTTCGTTTGTATTGAAATATCCCAACGACATAATTTGCAAGTTTTAAAGCTTAACACAAAAATATATGTCCATGTCATGCCTCATCTGGGAATAATCCCATACACCATTCAGAAAGGCTGAAGCCTTCAGGCACTTTTAGGATTGAGATCAGTCAGCAGTTCATGTATCCTAAATTCTTCTTAGAAAAAAGTCCATGGGACTAAGCATCCAAAAGCACTGGCTTGAGTCACTTCATTTAAATAAAGATGCTTGAGAAAGTTTTTCTTCATCTTGGAGACGACAGAAGGAAAGCATACTTCCTTCAGGGCATCATTCCCAGCCACAGTCATTTGGGGGAAAAGAGCAACAGAGTTTTGCTGGTAAAAAGGGAACATGTTGATTCCCTTTCCAACTGTGAGCTTATGATTGGCGGGTCCAGACTTGTCCATCAGCAGCATGTTTGTGACCCTGGACAAAACACCCAGATCTGTCCTCGGTCTGCACTGGTGCACTTTTTATGTTTTCCTGTTGTTCCAGGTAGGGTCTGCCGCTTCATTGGGCTCTGCAGGCCGCTCCGGGGAAGAGCGCGGGTCCTGCGGAGACTTCTGCGCTTGTGGGGAGCGAGGGTCCAGTGAGGGTTTGTCAGAGTGTCTGCTGTAGTGCTCGGAGCCGGGGGGACCTGCAGGCCTCCTGAAGTCCTGGAGAGGACCCTCCCTGCCCTGGTGGTGGTTTTGACGGAATTCATCAGGACGTCTTCTTTTGGGATCTGAATGCCTGAAACATAAATGATATAATTTTTAAAAAACAGTTGTATGACATAAAAATACCCTGACATTAAAAGTCCCTCAGTACACATTTTAAAGTGAGTAAAAAAATACTCTGCTAAGGATAATATTTTTTGGGAACAGCGAGTTGAACATTTCTGGACTTATCTCATTTGTGCAGGCTTCATTTGGTGTCACAAGAAAATGTAACAAAACATAAAATAACATAAAACATTCAAATGAATGAGTAACTCTCACCTGTCATAGTAGGGTCTCTGACCCCGGTGGTCCCGGTCGTTGCTGTACTGCTCATAAGGCCGTTTGCGAGGGGAGCTGCTGTTGCGGTAACCCCCTGAGCTGCTGCGGTACGAGTCTCCATGAGGACGTCGGTCTCCATAGTGATCCTTGTAGCGGTCATACTGATGATGTCGATCTCCCTGCCACGACTGGTTGCTGTTACTCGGGTAATTGTATTTACGGTCCCTCTGCCAGTCCCCTCGATCTGTAATCAAAGTGATATTCAACAAAGAAAATGTTGTCATGTATTAAGTAACTTCTATTAAAGGAATAGTCCTAACAATTTGAGAATTTTTTTTATTTTTGCTGAGAGTTAAATGAGCAAGAGCCTGGACACGGTTAGCTTAGCTTAGCACAAAGACTTGAAACAGCTAGCCTGCCTCTTTCCAATGTAAATAAAATCTCCCTGCCAGCCGCGCTAAAGCTCATTAATGCTCACTTGCTCAGGGTTTTCTGGGCCTAAAATATTTCAATCTGCACGTACCATCGTTGCCAAAGTGCCGTTTATTAGCAGAGTTGTACGGCTCTCTGTGGTGCCCGTGGGCTCCCGGCTGAGTGGAGTGAGACCCCGGTTTGGAGGACGACTGATTTCCTGTGGAGTCTCGACTGGAACCAGAGGGCTCGGGTCGGAAGTTTTTCCCCCTGCCTCCAGAATCCTCCTTTTTCTTCTGCTCCTTCTGGAAACGTCACAGGATATTTTCAGTGCTGTCCAAAACATCATGCCTACTTCGTAACACTTGATTAACCAGGAGTGTAAGATCTAGAAATAGGAAGCACTTGCCTCTTCCACGTGTGAACGCTTCTTCAGTGCCATTTTGTAAAGCTTGTGAAGCTTCCTAGCACCAAACTCCGTAAACTTGGACACAAAAATCCACAGGTTTCTGCAAAAAGGAACAAATAATCCTCAATGTTTAACAAGAAAGCATGTCATTCAATTCCAAAAGGGTAATATGTAACCCTCTTACCTCCGCCATATCTTGACATGTTCGGGGTCACTGTAGGCTTTAAGGCACTCTGTGATTCGGTCTCCAATCTTCATCAGGCATGTGCGAGTGTGCTGGAGCTGGTCCTGGTCAGACAGACCCTCATCTGGTTTATCCAGCTGCTTCAGGAACTTTTTCACCGGCCTCATGCGCTCCTTGCACTGTACGTGTGCACAAATGGCAGGAATTAGTGTAATGTAATGTTCCCAAGTTACTTATCAAAGTCTACGGGTTTAATATTGGCACAGGAATTAAAGAAGAAACTCACAACACTGAAAGTGTCCTGGTCCAGTTCATCATCGTCCTTTCCTTCGATGGGAACGGGGTCAGACCCAGCTGTAATGTGAACCGGACCTTGAATCTTCTTCCCTTTGGCTGCTTTAGCCTGAGTTACAACAAACACCAGACATGAAGACGACTAACCCACATCCACGGAAAACTTTGAATCGATTACTTACAGGATGAGCTAAAGTGCGTATCCCTATGATTAGCTATGGCCTTTAAGCTCCTTAATGCTACAATGAGATTCTGTTTTCCATGACCCTTCTGTCCATGTTGATTAGAAACAGAGGAAAGCACACATGATAAGGTCATGAATAGTTTGCTGAAATACCTTTTCTTTTTTGGGCTTGGCACCCTTTTTTTCTTTGTCCCCGTCCTTCTCCTTTTTAGGTGTTCCCTGTTTTTCTTTGTTCTCTTTGTTGTCCTTTTTCTTTTGTCTTTTCTTGGCGGGGGACTTCTCTGTTCCATCATCCTGCGCAAACACGAGGAAAGACAAAGCATGTTAAGGCCCAGATACAAAGGCCAGTCACCTGAGAAGTCGCCGACACCGACTGTTGCGTCGTCGGACTCTCCTGCGTATTTGCCGACTTCGCGCACTGGAACACACCGCAAATCCGAGCCGAGCACGTATGAACTGCGCATGCGTGAGTGGCAATAACTCTCCTTACCAGCAGGCGGCGGTAGTGTGTATTCATCATTCAAAAGAGGCAACAACCGGAACAACTGGAAGACAGAGAAGAAGAACAGACTCCGTGATATAAACAAACAACAAATAGCGTTTTTCTTTCCATTTTCACTCTCGTCCATTGAAAACATGAACGAACAGGAGCTCTATAAACCGATGAGGTGAAATAGCCGTCCGTGTGTGTTCCATCTTCCATTTTAAATCATTTGTTTACCTCCCTCACTTCCGTTAACGCTTCTCATGCACTGATTCGCTAGCTGAACAGCCAATCAGTGTTATCCCTTTGTCCGACTTCCGGTGGTGTTCCCGACGCCGATTCAACATGTTGAATCGGCAAGAAAAGGCGTCAGGTCGGCAGAAAAGACCCGACTGTGCGGCGCACACCACTCCGAATAGGGCGTGCCCACGCTCATGTTCGGCCCGACTCCCATTTACTGCCGATTTCGGGACGGTTTATCTGGGCCTTTAACCCCAAAAGTGATGCATTTCTGAAGGAGACAACTCTGTTTTCATTTGCTCAGTTGTATGATGCAAATATTGAGGACTTGGGGCATGAACTACATCAGTTCAGCAGAATTTTAGATAGGAAAATAAAGACTGGGATGCAGAGACCTGATAGTACAGTGGAGCTTGTTCAGTTCATTGAGCCTTATAAAGAAGTGTTTTTTGAGCTCTTCAGACTCTGCAAAATAGCAGTCGCAATCCCAGTCAGTTCTGCTTCCTGTGAGCGTAGTTTTTCTACATTGAAGCTGGTCAAAACTTTTCTCAGATCCACCATAACTGATGAGAGACTGAGCAATCTGGGTGTGCTTAGTATTGAGTCAAGGAGGTCAAAGGCTTTGAATCTTGACTTATTTGTTGATCGGTTTGCCAAAAATCACAAAAGCCGCAGGATTTTGTTGCTGTAATGTGAGATTTTGGGAAGGAAACTACAGCCTGGGATGCAGACACCCTGATGTAAAGTAGAGATGTAACTGTTCATTGCCTTTATTTTTATATGTAAATCTGTGTGTTTTCCAGATATCACTGTTTTACGTTTATTAGAAATGTGACGGAATAGACGAAACTGATTAGTGCGCGTGCAGAACAGGTGTGCATTCTGTATTCAGTCTTCATGTTTGTTAAATAGCCTACTTGTCTGTGCTTATGGGAAATAATACATCTGAAATCTATGTTTTCTATCTACGTATATCCATGTATTTTATTTAAGTCAACATTTAAGATTTGTAGACTTGTACATTAAATCCTTTTCTGTGGATTTAAAAATGTATATTTTCTGGTACTCTTGTTGCGTAAACTTGTTGATCGGTTTGCCAAAAACCGCAGGATTTTGTTGCTGTAATGTGAGATTTTGGGAAGGAAACTACAGCCTGGGATGCAGACACCCTTATGTAAAGTAGAGATGTAACTGTTCATTGCCTTTATCTTTATATAAATATGATATGGTGTTAGTGCAAAAATGGTACTATAACTTAAGCTGAAGCTAACAGTAATAACTATAATATCTATCTGAAATAAATAAGTGTACTGAAACAAATACCAATAACTGTATTGCATTGTTTTCTTATGCCCAATTACTTCATACTGTCTAGTTCTCTTTTTCGTCCTGCATTTATTGTGCCACCCTCAGAAAATAACTGGCCCCCCAGTGGCCCCCCCAGTCAAATTGGTCTAGAACCGCCACTGCCAATCTACAAACCTGTTTTTGCGGCCTTTACCACGCCATTCATGCAGCGAAATTTTGCACGGACGCCAGGACCGGTGAACAATTTGACATTCTGGAGTCGATGGGTTAAATATTTCCCACATGCTCGCGAGTGCCACCTATACGGACCACTATTGCGGTAAGCATGTTGTAACTTCCGGTTGTTGTTGTCATCTCCGGGTATCCCGTGTGCCTGTTCTGTTGCTGATAGCTTCTTATCTTAAACTTAATCGATCGTTTTAAAACTCTTGATCACGGCAACTGCCTGACGTTGTAATCACACGTTACTACAGCTTAAGCACTCACAACTCTCCTTCTCTTAGCGACTGTAACTCCACAGTTGCCTACATTCTTTTCGGGTTTGCTAACGGTAGCTAATTTAGCTTGATAGCTAGCCATGGCTCTTTCCCCACCCTCGGGTGCTATTTCCTGCTCTAACTGTCTCATGTTTGGTTACTTCCCTACCTCCTTTACTGGTACCGATACATGTGTTAAATGTAGTATAGTTGTTAGGTTGGAGGCGGGAATCATAGCCATAGAAGCCCGGCTCCGCANGACAGTATGAAGTAATTGGGCATAAGAAAACAATGCAATACAGTTATTGGTATTTGTTTCAGTACACTTATTTTATTTCAGATAGATCTTAGATAGATAGTTATTACTCATAGATAGTTATTACTGTTAGCTTCAGCTTAAGTTATAGTACCATTTTTGCACTAACACCATATCATATTTATATAAAAATAAAGGCAATGAACAGTTACATCTCTACTTTACATAAGGGTGTCTGCATCCCGGGCTGTAGTTTCCTTCCCAAAATCTCACATTACAGCAACAAAATCCTGCGGTTTTTGGCAAACCGATCAACAAGTTTACGCAACAAGAGTACCAGAAAATATACATTTTTAAATCCACAGAAAAGGATTTAATGTAAAAGTCTACAAATCTTAAATGTTGACTTAAATAAAATACATGGATATACGTAGATAGAAAACATAGATTTCAGATGTATTATTTCCCATAAGCACAGACACGTAGGCTATTTAACAAACATGAAGACTGAATACAGAATGCACACCTGTTCTGCACGCGCACTAATCAGTTTCGTCTATTCCGTCACATTTCTAATAAACGTAAAACAGTGATATCTGGAAAACACACAGATTTACATATAAAAATAAAGGCAATGAACAGTTACATCTCTACTTTACATAAGNCCGTATGATTCTGAAACGTATTATTTTTGTTTTCTATTTTTAGCCACGATTAGCAATGATGTTATATCACTGTATAGTAGGTTTAAGTAATGTATTAGCAATCGTGGCTAAAAATAGAAAACAAAAATAATACGTTTCAGAATCATACGGAGCCCCAAAAGGTTCATGGAGAAAAGAAGAGTATCTTGTGCGCACGAGAAAGTATTTTGTCACCAGTGTGCCAAGTAGGAAGTGGAGCACAGAGGAGAGAACTGTTTCATTGCAGACTTATTATTACTATTTACTGAGTTGATAACCAGCTTCGTAGGACCGCTTAGCAAGATCGCATTTGTTAGGGTTAGTTAAGCCGGGTAACTCAAACATATCCAGGGTCTGTTGAATTGGTTTCGTCGTACAGGGCACTGGAGGCAGTAACGTGTAACTCAGCAGAATCTGAGAAGAGCAGCACCAGCTGCAAAGAGCTGTGCCTTTTACTGTTTACTTCACTGTGTTTCCCTTCATTAGAACAGCTGAATAGAGATCGAGGCTGCTACGTTCAACCACACACACCTCAACACACATCGAACTACCAGAGTATTCCCCCTAATAGGCTACTCGTTTTATGAAGGAGATGTCCGGTCACCAGGGCGCATGATGTGTGTGTGTTTGTGCTCAGCTCCGCTCTGTGTGTGTGTGTGTTTGGTGTGTTGCTTGTGTGTGTCCGACACCACCAGCATTTGTTTTCAAATTACCACGAACAGTAATTTACACAAATCTGGTTTTCCATAGTTATATGTGTATTCCCAAGTGAAAGAAATGTGTTTAATCTTAATCTCGATGTAGTGCTATGTCCTGCCGGAGTGCACCGGAACGAACGACACTATCATAAACAAATACACACACACACACACACAGCACACCCCCTGGCGACTAGACATATTCTTCATAAAACTAATAATATGGCATAATAATCGGGCAGTTCGATGTGTTTAATCATAAGAAGGTATCTGTGCGAACGAGAAAGTATAACGCACAAGTTAATTAACCATGGCCTCGTTTTATTTATGTTTCTCTCTATGAACCCTCCAGGGCTCCGTAGTATTGACATGTCATCACTGAAGGCAATTGCGGTGTCCAAATGAGGTGAAATGTCCATACACTGTATAGCAGACTTTTGGAACATTTTGCATTTGTTTTACAATAAAGGTCATGCCTTACTTAGAATTTCTGCAGTGTTACTTAATACCTAGAAACAATTCAATATAGAAGCGGGACCACTGTAGATGTTATTGGACTAAAACAGATGGACCTGTCACACTTAGTATGTAATTTGAAAGTTAACATCTACAGTGTGTTTGCAGAGTGTTTTCATTAAGATATCACACTTGCAGACTTCTGGGATGAAGGGGGGAACTAATTGAAACAATATATGATGTATTTCCCAAGACATTCCTCAGAGGAAAGCAACTTCTTTATAAAGCCTCAGCTTGTCGACTCTTGTACTGTAGGTCAGAAAGCATTCAAGCTTTCACTCATTGCGGTTTAAAAATGTAACTCTTTTTAACTGTGTTTTACATATTCTCACCTTCTCGTTCTCCCTTCAAAATGATACCTTAATGGAGATATGCGACGCGCCTTGTCCATGTTATAAAATATCCTTTTATGAATCATGCAGGAGAGGTTTTCAATTTATACTGATGCACTTTATATTATGTTCACATACAGTGAGCGCAAATCCAGTCCACGCCTGTATTCTTGTTTATCTCAGGGTCAGTAAAACGCTGTGCATTGTTTTTAGCTGTTTATCTGTTCTTTATGAACCTGCCCTATATCTATCATTTCTATTTGAGTGCCAAAACAAGCTAGACATCACTTCATCCTCTTCAAGTACTCTAAGCTAGACGTA